AGTACATGTTCCAACCATCTCAGTTAATGAAGGTTCACAACCTCATCAACTGACTTACATCTTCTCTCTAAACTTATTGATTACACAGAGAAAAGTGTTAAATCTTATCTGCACTCAACTTTGCACCTATTATTATTTTCTCCTTAGCTTCCTATTGGAACATTGGGCTTCAGTAGCACATCTCCAGTGCACTGTGTTCTCTGCAGTCTTGTCAACCTCGCTCCACGGCTGCCCACAGGCTTTCGTTTCTTCCTCACATGAACTCCTCCATGTCACCCTCGCCTCGAATGCCCAACTCGTCACTTCCCCTTTGGATTCCACTCGATGACCTGGCCTGGCTCGTGATGTCCCCAATCAACCTTCTCAGTGTATGCCCAGTCCAGTCCACTTCCACTTTCTTTTGCATATTTGTTGGGTAATAGGTTCTTAGTTGGTTCATTGCCAGAGTTCCTTGTTGCTTATTCTTATCATTCTGGCCATCTGATCTTCAGTATCGAGTGAGTGTAGGTGGCAGCTGTTGACGAATGAATGTCTGCAGTTTGTTGGAAATGCTTTTCGTGACTCGCCAAGCTTCTGAACCATACAGAAGCACTGACATGACTGAATTAGTTTTTAAAATCTGGATCTTGTTCACGCTTTGAGCTGAGTGCAGTAGATCTCCAAACTGATTTCAGGTTAATGAAAGCCTGTCTTGCTTTTCCGATCCTGGTTTTGACATCCTCATCTGTGTCTGTGCCGCCTGTATTTGAAACGATGCTGCCTTGCCTAGTTAGATGAAAGCGACAACTTCCTTTAGGTTACTCCCGTTAATGGTGATTGGTGTCTCTTCTTGTTGATGCTGTTGTTGGTTGGGTATCTTCATCCTCTCTGTCTTCTCTACGTTCATCTGAAGGAAGTCCCGTATTTGCTGCCCTGCCTCTTCTGTCAACTTGTTAGTTTTCACCTGTAGATCTTCGAGTTTGTGCGACATTAGACATAAATCATCATTGGCGAAATCCAAATGTTCTAGGGTCTTTTCATCAGTCAAACAGCAAGCGAATGCCCATCTTCTCGCTCCTCACAGCTGTCTCCTGCATGATTCAGTCCACCACAATCAGGAAGATCATTGGTGATGGTAGGTGGCGGCTTTTTCTTACTCCTGTCTTCACTTCAAATGCTTCATTGAGCTTTCCATTGTGGATCACTTGGCATGCGGCGTCTTCATATAGCTGTTGAATGAGGTTTTGCACCTATTAAGTTATTCAAATTGATGTCAACACATATTTTTAAAGCACTAGTTAATTATTCCTTTCAGAATGCAACTTTGTTCTCTTTTTTTGTCTTATCTCAAAAGTGAAAGCAGTTAAATGTGAACATAAGTATTCGGTCATCAATTGAGTGACCTTAAAGCCCACCCTAGCAACTGATGAAACAACCAGTTACGTCTCTCTATTCTATGAACAATGGTCTTCCCAAACAAAATACTGAAACCTGATAGGCTATTTTGTCAGTTGTTAGGGTGGCCTTTAAAGCCGCCCCACCAAGTAGTGGTTATATTATACGCGAATCGATCACTGAGTAATAATAAATTTGTAGGTTTAAGGAGAGTTATTGATTGATTTCAGGTTGGTGCTCATCATGAACTGACATCAGTTGGAGAACTATTGGAAACCTAAAAGCACTGTGTAGATCTGTTTCGTCCGGCCATTATGGGGACTCCTCTGCAGTGCGTACCCCATTACCCCAGCCACCAGGGATCGGAACTCAGGACCTTCAGGTTCCACGGTTAGTACCTTACCAGTGGTCTACATTTCATACTTCTGCCAGTTCGCAGTATAGGGTGACCTCCATCCAATTTGGTTGACCTCACCGGTTACATTTACTCGTTAGAACTTTGGGAAGTCTCATCTCGAAGCGAATCACTAATGAGCACTAGGAAGTAATTTAAACCGATAAATAAGTCTCCGCAAAGCTTCTCTAGCTCAAAGAGCAACTTACCCTGGAAATCCACACCCTGAGCTACAAATATTCGTATTAGTGCTATTGGGCGTAATCGCAAAACTGGTACTTCATTTTATCAGCTTTAGTAAAGGTTTCTGCCAATTACTCATTCGATGTAATCGTTGTATGCTGCGTCTACTGCAGTTGTCATGTAGGTGCGGAGCTGTTGAGGTAGTTCCTATCTTGAGATATTGAATTAGCTGTAGAACGAAGGATGTTTCTGGGCGATTAGGTGAAGTTCTGACAATAATCTATTGCTACACTGGCTGCTCTTTGGAAACATGTTAATAAATCCAGTCATAAAGATCCGGTCTTCAGAGAAGCGAAAGTTAGTTACTGGAGAAACGAAATGATGAGCCTTACGATTTCTGACATAAACAAGGATATTTCCTGTTCATTTCTCTATTTCCCTTTATTATCTTTGGTTACGCATCCAATGACTGCAGTTTGGATGAAGTGAAGGATGAGTTCTACCGAAAGCCAAACGCTCAGGAGGGGATTTCAATGCATAAGTGGGCAGGCTAGTTCAGACACGAAAGCATCTAGGTGGTGATTTTAGAATCCCAGTCGAGCGAACAGATAACGGCAACCACCTAGTACATATATATTCAGATAACTGTTTACTTCAGACATGGAGACAATATCTAACGCGGTGTCCACTGACCTCAAGTCGGCGGTGGACACAGGCTGTATTTCTATCAGTTATCACTTGAGAGGGGGTTGGATGGAGGATTGCCGCTGCTTCTCGATCACATGTTTGGACATCTACCACTCGTTGGTTCAAGCGCGCATATGTCTCTGCCTCAATGGATGTAGGGAGACTTTAGCAACAACACCGTTGCGAGTGCAGCTCATCAACAAGAGAACTAAGACCGCTTCTAGTGATAAGCTGGGTAGACAGTTGTCGGGACGGAAAAATATCACTCATCCAGAAGAAGCTGGGTGCCATCTGCAGTTTTCTTTAAGGATAGCGTTGAAAACTGTAGTTGACTCTCGGAGATTGGTTAGAAATAGCCCGTTGATATCAGCAGGTTCTTGTGAATTAATGAATGTACGTGAAAGAGTTCCTGCAAGCTGAGAGTACAGTGAGGAACAAACACAACTCAAACATAAACTGACAAAACGTTTATGCAACGATCGCCAACAGTGGTGGGCACCGAAGGCTAGAGAGATGGAAAAGGTATCGGCGATAAGTAATAGTAGACAGTTATTTATATTTAGTAAGGGACCTGGAGCGAAAGGCTAATGGTGAGTGAGTTGATAGAGGAGAGGAATGGGTCTACGATTCACTCGCAGGGGAGATAACTGAAACGATGGGCGAAGCATTTCGATGAACAGTTCAACTTACCTCCAGCTACTATTTCGCTGCTCACCATCCAATCGGAGCTTGAATGGAACATCGAGATAGAACCTCCAAGACTGACAGAAGTCGAGAAAACTGTATGTAGGTAACACGAAATAAAGAAGAGCAAGAGCGCTAGATGAACTAATTCGAGTTATTTAGGGATGTTGGTTAAGGAATTTAAGTCGAGTTAACTGAGGTTTTAACTGATATGTGGGAATCAGATTTGATTCTCTCTGACTAGTCTCAATCACCGATTATCCCAGTCTTCAAGGAAGGCGAGAAGAAGTCCTTCTATGATAATCACACAGAAATCAGCCTGAAGAATATAATGTCTAAGATTTTAAGTTTATAGTCGTTAGGCGTCTGAATTGAGCTTGGAAACACCAAGCCTGAGAAAACCAGGCAGGCTTTAAATTTGACCATAGGTGTATCGACCAGAAATTCACACTCCACCAGGTTCTGAAAGACAGGCACACTTACCGATATCTAACACCAGCTTTTTTCCTGAAGTGGAGGCAGTGTTCAAACCTGTTGATCTACAGGTCTTATTGGAGTGTCTGTCACTAGATGGGGGTACCAAATAAGTACATCATTCTGTTGAAGGCTCTCTACTCGAACACCGTGCTGGTGTTAGAGTCTATGCTGAGTTGTCAGCTGAGCTGTGTACTTCGAGTGGTGTCCATCGGGGATGCCCACTTTCTCCATTCCTGTTCAACTTTGTCATAGATGTTCTTATGGAGATCTCCCTCTCACATCATCTAACGTGACGGAGATTGATCTAATCTCTCGAGAATCCTTGGTAGATCTAAAATACGCAGATCACATATTTCTGTTAGGTGAAGACACTGATAAAATTCAGAGCCTTCTGGACACCTTGAGTGACAGTTAGAGAATGTTTGGGATGTCTTCCTCATCACCCGAATGCAAATTGTTGTTTCACAACTGGTCTTCAATGGTACTCCGGCTAACAATAGAGAGTGAAATAGTGGTTGAGTGCGTTGAACGCTTCACTTACCTGGGAATTCGGATCAGATTTGTCCACCATTGACATTAGTGGATGATATCTCTGCTCTGATACAAAAGGATTGATTGCCTTTTGCATCTTCGTGATATCCGATTGGTTATTAAGGACTGAGTGTACTGTACTGTCTTTTCTTCTGTGTGACTGTGAAACATGTCCATTAAAGGTAGAAGACATGAGAAGGCTTCAGGTGTTTGACAACCGTTAGCTTCGTAGCATAGATCGTGTGTTATGGTGTCACTACATGAGTAACGTAGAAGTCAGATGTAGAGTTATAGGAAGAGGAGGAAAAGTCAGTTGATACGGTTGTGAACCTTCATTGACTGAGATGGTTGGGATGGAACATGTCTAAGCACTATCCGTCTCATCATGCAATCTTAGTTGAAGTATGTTTATCCTGCAGACACTGCATGAAGTCATTGACTGTTGGTCTGAGTCATGTGGGGAAAATGCAAACTAACCGGTTGAGGTCCATGGGACAAAAGAAACCGCCAGTGGTAGTATAAAAATATAAAAATGTAATATAAAAATGTAAAGAAATGCTTCTTTGTGGTCTATTCAGTTGTAAACTCACCATTTAAAATGAAATTATTTACAATACTGAAGTGTCTGAGGGACATTGTCTATGAATACTATCTTCGTCTTCTCTTCCAGGTAGATCCAAAGTACAATCGTTCTGTTCGTATAGCTGCTAAAAGACGAAAAGTGAATTCAGATGAAAAACAAATGAATCATCATCATCACAACCAACAGAACAGAGAAAGCGAACTGTTAAACGAAGATATAATCGAATGCTGAAACGATGGCGTATACGATCAAGTTTAAGTGATAGTGGGGTTATTGTTATTCTATTAGCTGGACGACATCGTGGTAAACGTGTGGTATGCTTAGGTAGACAAAAATCATCTGGTTTATTACTTGTTACTGGGCCATATTGTTACAATGGTTGTCCGTTACGTCGTGTTCATCCAGATTATGTGATTGCAACCAAAACAAAAATTGATTTGAGTGAAGTGAGTCTGATATTCACTTGATATTCTAAAACCATAATATTATTTCTCATAGTGTCTGTTAATCGAAGAGGAAGTTTATCTGAACAATCTGATGTATTTATGCTATATATGTTGTCACTTTGACTGAGATAGTAGCTGTGATTTGTAAACTTGTATTGATACTGGGTGAAGATTAAAGGTGAAATAAAAATTGGGAACGCGAAGGGATTCGAACCAGTGACATATCGGGAATCTGGCCTGATTGCTGCTGACCACATTTTTATTTCACTTCAATCATTAAGGGGTTTTCTTGAAAGCCATTTGAGTTCATGACGCTTTAGTACCGCTTGATCATATTCACACTGGCTGCCTAGTCAGGACTTCCAATCGAAATCTGAGTTAGAATGAGAGGGGGAGTATCATATTGCTTATCCTTTCGACTACTATCTGAGATAGCGGCCGTGGTTTGGCAGACTTGTATTGACACGGAGTGATGATTGAACAGTGTTGAACAATCTGATCACATGTTTCATCCTTCTTGAGACTCATCAGCTGGGTAAACTTGCCTCCTAGTCACGATGGCTATGAGACCCATCATACATTCGCTTGTCAAGTTGATTTATATATACGACCGTCGTTTTTGTACACATAAAGGCGGTTTCAATTTGTGTATGGTTATCGCTTCCTCAAATCTATAGAACTTTGAAGTCTGTTTGAAACATTCATTGTGTTACCTGTTTCCATAATATGTTTAGCTATAGATGAAGAGGGTCACCTCCCTTCTGCGCCTGTCGAATGTTCACACCCCACTTGTTTTTGAAGCCAATTACGTATACATGTTCTCCTACCCTCAACTACAACTATGTGGTGTGTTTAGGACGACAAAAATCTACTGGTCTACTGCTTGTTACTGGGCCATATTATTACAATAATTGTCCATTACATCATATTCATCCAGATTATATGATTGCAACCAAAACAAAGGTTGATTTGAGTAAAGTGAATCTGATATTGTTGAAAATGTCAATAAGTCAATAATGATGAAACATTCCAAGAAAAGAAAATAACACGAAACCACCATCACCCTCATCGTTTCACAATAGGATATGACGTAATCATTGGTGCCAGTGTTTAGACTTATTATGAGGTGTGTATTTTGTTTTTTCTCGAATGATAAGATTGCCTGGATAATATGTTTTTCTTAATAGTTGGTGTTGGCCAACATCTCAAAATGATACTATTCAACTCCCCTTAATGTGATAGTAGAATGATATAGACGCTTATCTTAGCAACCGTGTATAGACTTGCCTTTGGTGTTCCATGACTTCACAACTTTTTTCTAAACTTCAATGGATATCCTTTTTCTTTCAGTGTTTTGGTCAGTAATTTGATATCTCCATCCATTGTATCCTGTGTACACATACAATAGATCCTATTAAACAGGCATTTTATTAGGTCTCGTTTGTATTGGGTCGGGAAAAATCTGTGAAAATTCAGTTTATGTCCTGTCCATGTAATCATTCTGTCGACTGGTCGTTTTGTTGAACCATCTTCTCGTTGACTCAGAATTAGTATACGTGAGTACGGCATATGCTTTGCACCATTAAAGTGCTAAGTACTCTTGTAAGATTGTCAGTAGCCTATACCTGAGCGCACCCTTGGTGGTAAGCCGTTGGAAGTATTCGAAAAGTGTATCCGGGTAGTTAGGGTGAGATTTCCAACCGCATATGAAACGCCAGAATAACATACGTCAATTTGTACCACATTTGGTGCCGTCACAACGTTAGTCTAGGAGTAAGAGGTCGCTTCTGTGTGAACACTTCTGCTCTTCTTGGTTGTATTGTGTTCTCTGAGCTGGATTGTTTAATCGTGAGGCTTTCATCATCTTGCTAGACAGTGACATCATCAGTACTAACTTCAGTATGAAGTGAGCTGTCAATCTCTCCTTGAGTGAGTGATTTAATTGCTTGCTCTGACGATGTGGTCTGTGATTGGTTGTTTCCTTCGATTGTTGTGTCATTGATTGTATAGACTTTTGCTGTTGGCTGTTCCTCTGCTTCATCTGTCACCTTTCTGTGCTTTGTCATTTTCCTCATTGGTTGATAGATCGGGTCTATGTCTATACATCTATTGATTGCTGACTGACTGACTGACGTGAATGCCAAGCTTCTAGGAATTCTCTGATGATATTCTTTATGTTTCCTCTGTCCAAAATTTCTACATTGTCAAAATTCAATTCATGTCCATAGTTGTTATCCAGGTGCATTGAGTGATGAGTGATGAAATGTCGTGGCGTTTAATAGCCAATTGGTGTTCGTGTAGAGGAAGGCGAAGATGGTGGCCACTTTGTCCAATGTGTAGTGTTGACTAGAGTTATTGCAGTTGATTTTGTAAATGATATTCGGTTTGTCTTCTCTGGATGTGGCATCATTTGGTGTGCATAGTGTTTTGAGGGGACTTTGTGGTTTATGAGTGGCCCCACCAATTGCACTTAGTGGTCTCAGTAATCCTGTCATGATTTCTGATATATTCTGTATGTATGGTAGGATGATGCGTTAACTGATTTCTGTTGATGACTTTGTAGTTGATGATGATGCATGGGATAGGCATGTTGAGATAAAGTTTTGTGGGTAGGCGTTCTTCTTTAGGATGGACATCAAGATAATTTTCTTCGTTTCGGTGTGAAGTTGTTGTGCTGCAGTGTGTTCTCGCTGCGTGCAACTGATTTTGTGTGTTGTTGGGTTGTTGCTATTGTAGTTGAGGATTTGATGAGTCAGTGTGTGTATTGGCTTTTTGTACACTTGGGTTTCCAGCTTTCCGACATTTATCCTACTGACTAAAACATCTAGGAATGGTAGTTGGTTGTTTGACTCTTTCTTCATTGTGAATTTGATGTCATTGAAAACGTTGTTGGTGAAACTGTGGGTGTTTTCTATATCATCCTAACTCATGGAGAGATATTGATAGCTCACTTCATACTGAAGTTAGTACTGATGATGTCGTCTAGGAAGACGATGGAAGATTCACGATTAAACAACCCAGCTCAGAGAACACAATACAACCAAGACTATCCACTTGAGGTATTGCAGCGTTGTGTTTGGCCATGGTGGAGATCGTCAATCAATAAATGAAGTCGTCTGGAAACACTGGCTTTGGTGGCTTCGATATGTGTTACGAATGTCATCTCAACGGCTTCCACAGCGTTCATTGTTCGTTAACCCTAGGATTGGGTGGTAGGACGGACAAGGGGTGGTCAATGTTATTATATGGTATGACTCTGTGAGTGGGTTTCGAGAGGTCACGCAACTCAGTGACGGTCATGCTATAGCTTTCTTCTATCTTCTGGTGGTGAAAAGTGATGAGTGTTTCGTTTTGAATGTACCTTACTTGATTGCTCTTCTAATCATTCTATTCTTATGTGTTTTATTTGTATCTACTTGTCTTCGCTTTATGTCTTAACAATTTTGTTATAGTGTTGTGTGTGGTGCACTTCTTGGCGCCCGTTGCCGTACCATATTTGTGTTCTAATAGTACTAATAATATGTCTAAGAAGGGCAGGTGATTATTATTCTCTTTCGTATAAATCAGGCTGAAATGAGCTTGTACGGTGTTAAGTCTTTTTAGTAGACAAACCATATCTTCATGCTTCTCATATCGACATATCTCTTGTAAGGGAAGAACTTTATCGATGAGATCACCAGCTAGATTCTCTGTATATAACATATGCATATCAGCTAATAATGGTCCTAAGGGACACTACCCATAGGTGGTAGAGTACAACGTCAACTTGTTGAAAGTATTCACCTTCAAATTTGAAATATACTTTGTCGGTACACAAAAGTAATAGTTCTCTCAGAAAAGTTGGAACATTAGAGAACTCGAGGATAAGTAGTCATACATGAATTTTGATTATACGTTCAGTGATGCACATACAAGTCTACCAGCCTTCCTAACTCATAATATTACCTGAACTGAAAAACATTTTATTGTCAGAAGGCGTTAATTTTTTTAGTCATAATAATATACACTATCATCAATCAAATATTACTATTGTTTTGTGTCCCTTAGGTTCCTGGTGGAACATAAAAGCTTCAGTAAGACGTCGCAATCTCATTCTCTTCTCTTCAGTCTTTTCAATCTGGCTCCACAACTACCCACAAGCTCTCATTTCTTCCTCTCACACCATCTCCTCCATGTCACACTCGCCTGTGATGCCCAGCTCATCGTTTCCTATTTTGGTTCCACTCGATAGCCTGGCCTGGTGCGTGATGTCCCCAGTCCGTTTCCTATGTGATGGTTCAGAAACTTGTCGCGTTACGGAAAGCATTTCCAACAAACTACAGATATTCATCAACAGCTGTCGCCTACGCTCGCTCGATATTGAAGATGGAGATCGCATTGATGGCCGGAAAGAATAAGTGATGAGGAACTCTGGTCTGGCAACGAACCAATGAAGCAACCAAGAATCTGTTGCCCAACAAATATGCAGAAGGAAGTGGAGATGGACTGGATTGGACATACACTGAGAAGACGGACTGGGGACATCACGTACCAGGTCAGGCTATCGAGTGGAACCAAAATAGGAAACGATGAGCTGGGCGTCACAGGCGAGTGTGACATGGAGGAGATGGTGTGAGAGGAAGAAATGAGAGCTTGTGGGTAGTTGTGGAGCCAGATTGAAAAGACTGGAGAGAAGAGAATGAGATTGCGAAGTCTTACTGAAGCCCTATGTTCCACTAGGAACCCGAGGGACAAATAATATATAACAATTATAAGACGGACAATTGACCAAGGAACTAAATGCTACACCACACATTGAAGAAAAGTGAAATAACATAAAACTTCTCACCAACTGAATATGATTTTTGTGATTACATAAGTGAGTGATTCAACTATCTCTGCACACTATTTCCAACTCTGTGAAGCATATAAACACCAGATTGATTACAATATGCCTTAAAATATGTTTTACTTTCCAACTTACAGTAAAGGTTGTCGAATCATGACGCTTAAGAGAAACT